TTTTGTATTCTATGAGACTAATGTATTTATATCTTGCAATATAAATTAGACTGGTGAGTGTATGACTGTTGCACTTTAAATACCCCGTCACTTAAAGACAGAAACAATTACCAATAGCAGGCTCTGAAGAGATGCTTTACATTCGTACATTTAAATGGCTCCCTGTTCCGATGGGATAAATAAAATACAGCATTATTTCTTTTCCTATTTTGTTTTTCTACTAAATGTCTACCTTTCATGTTACAACAGTTGGGGAATATGTGCTTCTAAGAACATGTGCTTAAGAGTGATAATTCAAGGGAAGCCTGTACATTAGTCATCCAAGTAGATTTTTAGTAATTCCCATTTTTCCCCATGAAAGTAACTGAGTAAAATTTTGATAACAGAATGTAATGCATACCATAATTATTTTGCTAAGCTCAGCCTCTGAAGTGCAAAAAAGTCTGTGAAATGTTTGAAATCTGTGCTTAAGCAATTCTTTTTTTTATTTTAGCATTTCATTGTTAAGTTTTGCTGCTGCTACCTTAGTGTGAATAGCATAACATGGAAAAACAAGTGCACTGAATTTTTGGTAATGATAAAATGACTTCACTATTTATTAATCCAACATCTGGAATTCTCCAAAGCATTTCCTCAAATCAGTATTCTTCCATTTGTTGAATTTCAACTGCTTTAGATAATGTCTTTGACATCATATCAGCTCATTAGTAGAGCATTATTGTTTCATAAGGGAGAAATTCTGTCAAAGCAAAGCTAAGATCACAAGGGATCCAAACTCTATTTTCATGTAAATATATTTAATAAGGAGAGGAGGCAGAGGGAAAAGAGAATGGGAGATAAGTCAGTCTAAATGGAAGATGAGTGCTTCCGATTATTAGAGAGATGAATATATAATATATAAAGATATCTGGGCTAGTTGTGTCAATTGATTAGATCCTATAATCAAGCACTGATGATCTGATATTTGCATGGCTCACTAAGTTTTGCACAATGGGGAGAAAAGTTTAACAGATACTTCTCTGTGGTGAAACAAACCATTCTGAATGCATGAGGTGATGGGCAAAAAATTGTTGATGGCCCCACACTGTCAGTCAATCCTAACTACTGGACATCAACCCTTGGTGCTGGCCTCATTTACAGTGGTCAGTAGTCTTTTGTGCCTGTGAAAACACATAGTTAATATTGTTGGAAGTCCGGATTTTACTGATTACTTCACATAGCAGGCACTTAATAACAATGTGTTAAATAAAGGAATGTCTGATTTTATGGACTCACATGAAGCAGTCATTATGCAATTGCACAGATACTTGTCATGACAGAGAATCATGAAGGACAGAAAAAAAATTGGGGGTGGAGGTAGAAGAATACTGAGAAAGCTTTCTACAGTTTTTCCTGATTTCTCTTTTATTTGCTGTAGCCAAGCAATCTTGGCTAATAGGGGAAATGAGCTGAGAGGATTTTGGACAGAAGGGGAAATGTGAACAAAGGCACAAGGTAAAAAGAGCTTTAAGATGCATAGCCCTGTATCAAAAAGGAAATATACTTTTCTCTCTGTTGTACCTCTTATATTGCCTTAATGACTTCAAGTTATTTTCAAGGAACCAGGAAATACACAGAGATCCCTCACTGCCACCACAACCAAGCCCACACCTTCAATGTATACCTATATTGTTATGACAAAATAAACTGTCACACATTTGTTGTGTACCTACCTTTGTTGTGTACCTACCTTTGTTGTGACAGAATAAACTGTAGAGTCAATTATCTCCTGAATAGTTTGCCAACCCTTGCTAATACTACTAGGTACTTAGGATGAGGATGTCTTTTTAGATTTAATAGAGCTCATAAAATAATCACTCCACGTAAGTGAATTTAAGGTTTTAAAGAGAAATATCTCAGTAATTGGGCAAAATCTTATCAGTGCCTAGAGGGAATGGAACTTTGTTTAATTGCTTTATTGAAATAAGAACAGACACCCAACAAAGAAAAACTAAGAAATGAGAAATGTTGAATTGGAAAGGAGTTTACTTGGTAGTTAGCAATGTAAATATACCTACTTTTTAAAGTGCAGAAAATAGTTGGTTGAAAACAGAATAAAATGTCATCTTTTATAATGTTGATACTTAGAATTTATATAATATCTCTGATCTTTATCAACATATCTATAGTCCACAAAATTTCTGAAGACTTTAGGAGGTGGTCAATGTTATTTTCAATTTGCAAAGTAATTCTTTAGCAATAAAAATTATGTAAGGCCAGCATCAGCTGTGAAATTAAAAAAAAAAAATTGAAACCAGGATTGCATATTCAAATTTACTATGGAGTTTCCTATATATCCACTCCCTTTTAAACCAGCACCCACATAACAAATTAGAATGGTAGTATGTTAAGAATGACCATCTGCATGACTGTTCTCCCTTTCTCACTAAATGCTATGGTCTGAATGTCTATGTTGTCCCAAAATTTATATGTTGAAAACGAATCATCAATGTGATGGTTTTAGGAGGCGGGGCCTTTGAGAGGCCATTATATCATGAGGGCAGAACACTCAGGAATGGGGTCAGTGCCCTTATAAAAGTTGCCCTGGAGAGACCCTTTCTCCCTTCTACCAGGTGAGGATATAGTGAGAGGGCATCATCTGTGAACCATAAAGAGGGCCCTCATCAGACACTGAATCTGCCTATGCCTTGATCTTAAACTTCCAAGTCTCCAGAACTGAGAGAAATACATTTCTGTGACTTATAAGCTTCCCAATTTATGGTATTTTTAGAGCAGCCAAATTGGACTAAGATAGCAATTCTATAATTATATTGTGTAATGGAATAGTAGAGCTAGTGAGAATATATGACATTTCCTTTTAATATAAAACTTTATACATGCCACCTGAGATCACCAATTTTCCCTTTAGGAAGGAAAAGTCTGGTTGAAGCTGAGGTTCTTCTTAGACTTGTAGCATTTCCAATGTAGTAGAGTAAATGGACAAATATATTCTTATAATATCCTTGGGCAAATGCCTGATATAGTCCTCTATCGGGACAACTTCATTTTTAGTATTTGATTTCTGAATGTATCCATTTTAAAATATTATAATTTATATCACATTATATACATTTTAAAAGCTAAAAAGGCATAGTCTCATCTTCAAAATTGCCTTACAAATTTATTATATACGTGTGTGTTTATATACAAATGTACATGTCATTTATTATGTACATTATCTTATTTAATTATAATAACCCAGGGAATTAAGACCTTACATCAGATTTTCTTTTCTTTTTCAGATTGGAAGAGGGTTCAAAAATCTGTCGAAAGTCACTCAACAGTTTCATGATGGATCCTGGATTCACAGCCAACTTTACTTGGCGATAAAATTCAGGTACTGTTCACATCACAACACATTTTTACCGAAAGAAAATACGATGTGTAGATGTTTGGAGGCATCCTATCTTAATGAGGCTTTTGTTAGAAAGAGTTTTCTTAAAATTACAGTGTTGGGGAAATAAAAAATGTTTGTTGCTCAGATTAACAAAAAAATAGTGTACAGAAAATAAAGCTAAGAAAGGGAAGTGCAGACAACCAAGAGACTAGAATTTTCAATAAATGGCAAAATTGTGGTGTTCTGTGGTTACCTCTTGAAGATCTGACCTGAATCATGCAACAATTGCTCCTTGCCCTCAGTCCTCAAATTCCAATAGTGCAAGAGGTATCTATAGATATTATATTTGAATCTGCTATCTGTTATATTTTCTTTATTACTTGCAAGGACATAGAGGAGAGCACAAGTTTTCCCTGTAATTTCTTAGGTTTAGTAACTGGAGCTTGTGAATTAAACTGGCAAAATACAGATTAACAGGAGAAAAGTCATAGACATTTTATTTTAAATTTCATATGCAACGTAGTTCCAGAGAAAAGAAGTGAAAGCCCAAGGAAGCAATTAGACTTGAGGAGTTACATCTTCAACAAAGATTGATGATTGTAGAGAAGTGACTAGATTTTTTTTTTAAGATGGTTTTAGGCTTCCAAGGGTGATAAAGCATGGGAAGGTAAATACATGAGGGAAACTAATGGTATATAGGAGTTATTTAGTAAGGCTTGTTTACACAGACTAATCTCAGTGGTAAGAATGATTTTTTTCCTTTTTCTGGTCAGGGGAAGGAGAAGGGACACCATCACAATGGGAATTTATGCTTTCCTGGTAGACAAATAGAAGAAGAGTAGAGAACTGCTTTCTCTCAATTGTCTTCAGCTCAAAATAATCCTTATGCCAAAAAGGCTTAATTTAGAATTACATATTTTCATCCTCTCCACACACAAGCTTCCACATAAAGTTCAAAGAGAGTCATGTTTTCTTATAATTCACTCTGCCCCAAATATTAACTAAGATGACATTCATTTTCCAGCTTGATTCTGCAACATTCACTTCCAGAAACTTTATCACATTGGTTAGTTTAGAAGTCTCTTAATCCTGGATTGAAGGAAAATAATTGAATGTGATAAAGGATATATATTCTAAAAACAAAGGAACTGTAAAAGAAGGCAAGATGCAGAAAGTACGTTGTAATCTGTGACTTAGTGCAATTTAGTCCTTGAATTTCTTGTGTGCAATTATTTATTGAAGCTATCTTACTATATGTTAATTCTGTGTCTTCTTTGCTCTCTCTTTTTGTAAAAATTTAATTTTCTGAATTTTTTTCCAGAGTCAGTCATTGATCTTCTTGATAACATTCATTTCCCTTGGTGAACTAACTTTGATTCATTGCTTTATCATTCTTCTCTAGGCTGCTTTTGTGAGCTGAGAATGGTTTTTAATAGATAAGTGTTCACAATCAATTTGGTGATAAGAAATATAATTTTGAATCTCAGTTACAAAAAATTTTATCCTTCATAAAATAATTTTTTCTCAATAATAAAAAATGTATTTCAAAAATATTATGCCCTTATTATATTTTAAATTTTGACAATACAAATAATAAAAATTTATTTTATCTAATTATGTAAGTACCGAGATGATTTTTTTTAGTTTTGTCTCTTGACTCATACAAAGCCTAAAATATTTATATCTTCCCCTTTTTAGAAAAAGTTTCCCAATCTATTTTCTAAAGGTTGGATTCACTCAACAGATATCTTCTATTTGGAATTCAAAATGTGCTTCAGAATACATGAAAACAATAACTACATAAACGTATATGAATTTCTTTCTTTCCTGAACTCAAATAGCAACTTGCAACAGCATGCTTTCTAGAGTTGGGATATTCGTGTGTTACATTGTGTGTAGGGGGTTAGAGGATGTGTGTATGGATCTGTGTCTATAGCATTGGACCTCATCTCTGCTCTTCAACGAAATTTAGGCTTAGAAAAGGAAGGGAGTAATTTCATAAACTTATTTTGTTTCTCATGAATGATAATATTTTGAAATTAACAAAAATGTTGCTCAGTGAACACCAAACCAATAAATGCGTAAATGAAATGGAGAATTTGAGTCTTAACATTAAATCTTAAGCAAAATACACATTTTAAGGATTACGAATACTTTACTTCAAAATGAAAGTTGTCATCATCAGCTCCCTATACACTCAAGAATTCTCAGTGAAGTGAACAGAATTAGAACTACAAGTGAAAAGAATTAGAACTGCAGTAAGAAGCCCATGTTAGAGACATGACTCAATCTCTCAGCTCCTATGTGGCCATGGAAAATTGGTTCATCTGGCTGATAAACCACGTACCTTTTTTTAGGTAACTTGAAGTGGCTGACCTCTAAGATTCCTTGAAGTTATGAATATCTGTGACTAGTATGGTGAGCAGTCTCACCAGCAAGTGACTTTTGTAGTCCCAGATGTTATTATTTAAAGGGGTACAAGTCAGATACTGTTTCTGCAAATTATCAGCCTTACTGACTATTGAGGTTTTGTTATGAGTTAAATAGACATCATACCTAGTTTCCCTGTATTCTCAATTCTCAACAGAGATAGCCGATATTGTTATTCCCATTTCTTTTCAGACAAAGAATTCAAGAGATTGAAGTCATTTGCCCATGGTTATAAAACCTGGAAGTGTCAAAACTGAAATTTAAACACTGTTTTATTTCAAAACTTAAATTGTTGATGCCCAAGCTACAATAGTTTCATGGTTTAGTGGTCCCCTCCTGAAAAATCTTTTCATTTTCTAAATTTGAAGCAATCTCCTTTGAAAGGCAAAACCTTAAGCTTGCTTTGCCTGAGATTTTATCCCCTTGACAAGAATCAGGATGGCAGGAAGACAAAGGGAGAGTCAGAAGGAAGAAGTGGCTCTAGCAGAAGTAGATGGGAAGCCCCCAGAGATGAATTTTACCTTGATTATTATGTTGCCTAAGACAGGTCTGATTTCCATTTGTAATTATACATGAACATCTTTACCAAGCATTCATTTACTTCATGTGTTTTAGGGAAGAACATTCCACCCTAATGAGACAGAAAGGTTAGAGTTGAACTAGAAAATGAGATTGGAAATCCCATCCAAGCATGTAGCATGCAGTAGTCCCCCTTATCTGTGGAGAGCACGCTCTGAGAGTCTAAACCCATGGTTAGTACTAAACCCTACATATACAATGTATTTTCCTATCCATACATAGCTATGATAAAGTTTCATTTATAAATTAGACACAGAGATTAATAACAATAACTAATCATAAAATAGGACAATTAATATACTGCAAGAAGGGTAGTGTGAGTGTGGTTTCTCTCACTGTTTCTGAAAATATCTTATTGTACTCTACTCACCTACTTTTAAACCTGCAACTAACTATGGGTAACCGAAACTGTAGAAAGAGAAACCACAGATAAGAGAATACCATTGTACTCTCTCTGCCCAGGTCCTACCCTAAAAATGTCTTGATTACTGCAAAATGCCTTTTTCTTTTTCTTTTTTTTTAACTTTTTAAGTGAAAACAAAACTATTAAGTTTATATATTTGATGATCTCCTATTTTCTAACTTCTTTCTTTTCTAACTTCTTTCAAAATAAATCAAAGAATATATACATGTGATCTTGAAATTACATTAAAAGAAAATTTTCCCATCACATTTATCTCGGCTAACTCATGAAACTGAACTCATTGTTTCACTGAAACAATGAAGTGATATTAACAAGTGTTTTTAGTTGGCGGAGGGTGAAGAAGGTGGTGCATATAGTTCTCGGGGAGGTGGGAGGGAGGCTAGACCCAGTGAGATGGATAAGATTAGTAGCCTAAAGAAGCATCTTGCCACTGAAGTCCATGTACCACAAAAATGCATATATGAATTTATTTTTATTTAAATATAGCTCTCAACTTACGTATTATAATGCACTTGGTAAAAAATAAGTTAAAAAAAAGTTCTTTTCAAAATTTGTTAGATTATCACAAAAAGCAAGGCTTCTATAACTTTTTTTTTTTCTTAGAGCCCTTGGGTTAATGAAACCTACTCAGTTACAGTTACTATTTTTCTTCTCTCTACTGAGCATGGATTACTTGATGTCTCATCTATGGCAGAGTTTGCCAAGACAACTGAGCAAGTCTAGTGTAGAGAACTTGAATGTAGTTGGAACATATCCAGCATCAAACAGGAGTCTGTTTCAGGATCTAAGACTAGCCAAATTTTCTTTCTCAGGTGTCTTTTCCTTCTCTCTGGAGTCATTGGGTGTCTCATTCCTAGAGTCCTCAGGCTATCAGGAACTTTCAGAAGAGATGTGTTTTCTCTCGTTAGATCACAGGACTTGGTGATAATCCTCAAATCTTCTTGAATTCAAGCATGTCCTAAGGCAGGAATTTTCACTGCTTGCCTGTTTCCGCGTCTGAAATTTATGGGTTTTCTCATTCTGAGCCAGTTCACAAGTTGGCTGATGGTTGGTGAGATCAATTATCTTTGTGAGAAAGGAGCTCTACAAATGTTAAATTGTACTAAATTGTTGAGTAACGTAAAGCTGCTAAGTCAAGAGTTACAGAAAGCAATCAAAGCTGCCTAACGCATCTGTTGCCTATTTTTAGAGCCTGAATCAACTCATGGAGCCAGAGTTAGGCAAATCAAATAATAATAATAACTGAGTTCTTATTATTTTTTAGTCTTTATGGTAAAATGTTTTAGATGAATTAATTTATCTGCCTTATACCAACCTATGAGGTAGGTACTGCTATTATCTTCTGCTAGCAAAAGAGGTAATTAGCCCAGGGACACCGATTGATAAATGGTGGCACTAGAAATTGAACCTGAGACTTCAGGTTCCAAAACAATTCCACTGTATGGCTTATAATGTAGTCATGCCCTTTGACCTCCAACAATAATAGAATTTCATGCCAAGACTATTTAGATGTTTACAGTGAACTATAAATTAAAAATGCCTGGGTGGCGCTGCCAAATGCTAGGTGCCTACCCTTGTGCAAAGCGATATTAACCTCACCTGTAAAATGGGGTCAATAACAGTCCCTGCCCATAGGGTTGTTTTGAAATAATCCATGTGGAGCATGTCCACTAGTGCTTAGTACTCAGTAAGCATTCAAACATTTTAGGTACTATTAGCACTTACATAATGACACTATCATTTCTTATCACATTACCACAGTTAGCTGGAAAGCATGCATATGAATAAACACCAATTCACAGGTCCTGTCTGAGCTATTGATTTTCACTTGCTGATATAATCAAAATATAACAGTAATAAGGCAGTACAGCCTCTCACACAGATAGTTATCTGGCTTGGTTCTAAGATTTAAACATCAATTTAAATCAGCTATTTCCATCCAAGCCATTTTGAATGAGCTAATGGTTTGTGTGTGTTTTAGGAGAAATTACAAAGTAGAGTGAAGTAATGCCTTCATTATGCACATTAAAGGTTTGGATTCTGCATGGTCAGTGGGTAGGAAGATTCTGGACTTATTTCAAACCACCCTTGTAATTGTATCTGTCTGCCTTTTGTATAAGCAGATAAGAACTACTAAAACCTCTAATTAGACAAAGAATAGACAAAAAGAAACCATGTATATTCATATTTGTTTCCAAATAGCCTATGGAAGCCACAGGGAGTTATGCAATCTTAGAGAGAGAATATTGGAATTTTTTTGTATTGATGTATTTAATGATAACTCCCTTAAATTCAAACCCCCTAGATTAGCATTGAGTTTGAGTTCAAGCTCTGCCACTTAACTAGATGTGTGACCTTAAATATGCCTTTAAGCTGCTTTTTCCGCATTGGGAAAGAATAAATGATACTACTACCTACCTCATTTGTAGTTGTAGCATTTAAGAGAATCTATGCAATTCGTATAGTGACTAGCATACTACGTTTTCAGTAAGTTTTAGCAATTACGATGTTATGAGTATTCTTATTGTATATTCCACTCATAATTGAATATGATTGTAATTTAAGCTTGTCTCTCGATTCTGCATAGTATTAAAAAGGTTAAAAAAGACAATAAACTATGTTTTATAAAAGTCAAGCAATTAAAAAATGGCAAGAAGATATACCTTTTACTTGCAAACTGTTATATTTCCCTAAATTCCAGGTAATGAAAGCCAACTTTTTCTGTGTTTTTTAATCATACAAAATCATCAAACCATCGAGTAATATTTGTAAAGTACCCGCATAAGCATGGTATCATGCTGGGTGCTGCAATACAATCATTAATGATGATATCATGCAAAAACAGTATTTTTCAAGGTTTTAAATATAGTTGTAAACTAATTAATTTTCATTGCAAATATTTTTATAAGAACAAGAAACTTATTCTTGTAAAGCATAGCTTGAATGAACTGGATTCAGACTGGAAGCCAGAAGGCAACTCAATTCTTCTGATACCCAAACCCAAATCCTATCCAGCCTTTAGTCAGTGTGTGGGAACATCAGTAATTTATGTTCCTTCTATTGAAGTTGAGGAGCTAAGATGTTAAGTAAGAGAACTCACATGGAAGAGGCCTTAACTTCAGTTTATATTAAAGTTTCTCATAAACGTGCTTTTCTTCTCTGAAGCCTATTCCTGGCATCACAGAAAATCGCAGTTGCTCTTTCCCTTAGCGACAATGAAGAGAATATGCTGTGGAAACGTGAAATATATAACCTACAAATATAATAGTATTAACATTCTTCCCAAGCTTTTTACTCTTTTCATTTTTCTCTTGACTTTTTTTTTCTTTTCTCTCTAGAAAAATACTGTTACTCTGAGACAAGGATAGTAGGCCAAGGAGCACCTACCAAGGGCAGGAGCATAACCCTATAGGACACCCTGAGGGACTGTATGTAAGTATCAGGGAGATTGGTTTTGAATTCCAAACCATCTTCTATTAGACTGGTGCAAAAGTAATTGCAGTATTGCCATTACTTTCAATGGCAAAGACCGCAATTACTTTTGCACCAAGCTATAGGTTTATAACTCTGGAAATTAGGTAGGTTCTTTGTCTTATCTCTATCCTCTATATTTTGCCTTTTATTTCTAAAATAGAAATACTACAAATACTAACATCACAGGTTTAATTTTTAAGGCAACTATATAGTAGAAATTTAAAACAAAATAAAACCTCTTTGTCTAATTCATTTTCAAACATGCTAGCCATTTTCATTCATGAGAATAAAATGTCTGTGTAGCCCTTCTATATCCAGGAAGCCCTAGCCATGCACTCAATACACATACAAAGTATGTTTGATTTGTTTTACCAATAGTTTATAGTTAGTCGTAACCATCTCTGAAATAAGTGATTCTCAAGCTAGACTACACATTAGAATCATCTGGGAACTTTTAAAAATACTGAATCTCAGGTCCCATCCCGAATGAATCAAACCATTATTTCTGGAAATGGGACCCTTTGCAGTCATTGGATTTTTTAATCAGTTAAATAACTCCGCTGTGAAGCCAGTTTTAAGGTGAATTCTTAGAAGGTTTATCTATCTTTCATGTTTCAACTCAATTCTATAGTCTTACCTTATGGACCATACCATTTTGAGGCTGAAAGTGTTACATTTATTTACTGTATTCTTAATGATGTATCTTGTAAATGCCGGATATATTTGTATACATTATTAAGAGTAGTAGATTTGACTACATTTGCAGATTTCAAGGAAATTCAAACATGGTATCTGACAGGAAGTCTCTCACAGAAACACAAACTTTGTCTCCTCCACTTTTCAAACTTTCCTCCTGAGCACAGAAGCCTATTTATTCTTTTTTCTCAACCTTTTTATAAAAAGTGATTTTATCCCATTTTTCCATTTTCAACCCAAATATTCTCCATCCCTACACTTACTTTCCTTCTGGGAAGTGAAATAACTTTTAATATCTGCAGAATTGCCTAAATGCGGTTAGATACACCTGCATTAGTCTAACCAAATATGCATTAATTTTGTTTTGCACAGTGGTTTGTGATTACCTGAAATTTCCCAAAGGTGATTTCCAGATAAACCATTAACTCCTATTTCTGGATCTGCCTACCATGGCTCATAGGTAGAAAACCCAGGCTATTATCGTACCCCTAGTTCACAGGTGTATCTCCAGACGCAAAGGATTGCAACAAAAAATTGTGAACCTTCAGCTCACTGGAGGCAGACGTGTACTAGAGTCAAGACTCAGAAAATAATATGAAGCTTCTTTTATTCCTTTAGGATAAAAGGATAAAAGAAAAAGGGGTAATTAAGTCTCTTTACATCCACCACACTCAGCAGCAAATGACTTCTTGTTTAATAGAGTTGACAATGACAAAATTTATTTTCCTTTGAATAATTGCCTTTACTTAATTACAATTAATCAAAACCTACAGGAGTAAAAATGCTAGAGAATTGTGCTGCCATTTTTGCTGTTTTTCACAAAAGGCTTGTATAGGAGAAATAAAGGAGACAAATATGTGGATTTTAGATGACTTTCCCTAATTAGAATAAAGACACATACTAATACAAGGGAAAATGCAGTTTGCTTTCCTATTAATATAACCAAGTTTCATGGCTTTGAGACCTCTGATCTGCTTGCATTACATTATAGCTGTCATCTGTATTTCTTAATAATAGAATTTGCTCACTTCCTTAAGTTAAATTGTTTTTGGGGAAACATTTAAGAAGCAATGTCTTCACTTGGGAAGCATAAGGTTTAAGCCACACAGACTAAGGTAATTATTTTGCTAAGTTAATTAGTAATGTTTATGTATTTGATAAAATACGAATACAATTACAAGACAAATAGATTACAGCATGAGGCTTAAGGACCATGGACTGATGTATGGGACATCATTTTTCAGATGTCTGTAAGGTAGCTTAATCCCAATATGTACAAAACTGGACCCAGCAACCTCCTTTGCTCTCATCACTGTTTGGGTCATTTTGAAAAAAAAATGAGGAACACAGCGAATAAGAAACCAGAGTCATCCTAAACAAGTCTTCTTCCCCTCCCATCTTTCTATATGTAATTCATCACCAATGTCTGTTCATAAAAATTCAGACACATCTCTCCACTCTGTTCTCCTATCTATACCTCCATCCTCACTACTACCCGAAACAGGCTACCAGCACCCCTAGACTGGACTGCTGTAAATGGCTTATAAGTGATCTATCTACTGTCATCCATCCTTATCTCTGCTTATGCATTCGCCCCACTACACCTAGAAAAATCTTTGCGATCTTTTCCACACAAATCTGATTTTGTTGCTCCTTGCTGATTCCCTGTCCTCCCTCAGCTTTGAAATCCTTTAATTTTCCCCCTAACCTCTCACAATCTCCTCCCCATCCCCAGCCCTGGCCTGACCTTGTTTACCCACGTTTACCACAACCCAGCTCAGTGTTCTCCTTGGCTTCTTCCCTCAGCATCACCATCCCCCAGCCAGGGTATTCAAAGGACAGAACCCTCTTTCCTCCCCTTTAGTCCCAATTTACTCCTGTTCATCCTACAGACTTCAGATCACTCCCCTTTCCCAATCTTCCTGCATGCATTAATTTTCCTATTATGCCACCTCAGAGCACCATGTACTTTAGCACTTAAAACAATTGCAATTTTATAATTATTGCTTATTATTTACCATCTCCCCCAATAAACAGCATTTGTTTGCCATTATATCTTTAGTGCCTTCTACAACTCTAGGTCAGTTAAGCATTTAATAAATAAATATTAATTTAATGAATTAAAGAATTAAATGGCTTGATTTCCATAGAATATGACACATTTTGAAAATCCTACAACAATTAGGGCATACCTAAATCTTGTATTTTTCAGTAAATGCTATTGAAAAAAATATCATATTGACAGGCAACTCCTACATGGATTACAGTAAACTATCACTTCTTGTCTAATAGGAAACTGTGGTTCTGGGGAGGAGAAAAAAACACATAATTATAAAACATGATATAATGCCAAATGGGTTACAATCCAAAAGGCTCTGAGCTTAATATAATATCCAAATTCCAGTGTCAGCCAAACTAATTTCCAAGCATATATCTTATAGTTGAAACAAAATGCTTAACACTTGACCCTAAGTATGTATAAAATCTGTGATGGTTAATATTGAGTGTCAACTTCATTAGATTGAAGGATGAAAAGAACAGTTCCTGGGTGTGTCTGTGACGGTGTTGCCAAAGGGGATTAACATTTGTGTCAGTCGACTGGGAGAGGCAGACTCACCCTCAACATGGGTGGACACCATCTAATCAGCTACCAGCACAAAAGCAGACAGGAGAAGATGGAAGAACAGACGAGTCATTCGACCTTCATCTTTCTCCTGTGCTGGATGCCTCCTGCCCTCAAACATCAGATTCCAAGTTCTTCAGCTTTTAGACTCTTGGACTTACACCAGTTGCTTGCCAGGGGCTCTGAGGCCTTTGACCACAGATTTAAAGGTTGCATGGTCGGCTTTCCAGCTTTTGAGATTTGGGGACTTGGACTGATCCACCACTGGGCTGCCTTGCTCCTTGTGCAGACGGCCTATCTTGGAAATTTACCTTGTGATTGTGTGAGTCAATTCTCCTTAATAAACTCCATATATACATATATTCTATTAGGTCTGTCCCTCTAGAGAACCCTAACACAAAATCCTTCTAGTGAAAAACATTTCCTTGAGGGTCAGTGGCATGCTTTCCTAACTAAATTTGTCTTTTATAGATGCCAACTTTTACTGGAACATAAATTTTGAGACTATTTTTAGAAATAAAGATTTTTAAATGTCAGTTTTCGAGGAATTTGGAGGTTTTCCATTTCGTCAGCCATTTTCAGACTCTTTAGCACTCAATGCTATGCCTATGTTCCTGGAGTAGTATTATGGAAATCATAGATCCTGAGTTCTTATTTTTATTTTTCCTACTGGTCTATCTATTTATATAATATGCCTAATTTGGTAGAAGCTATTTTCATATCTCCACACTTCAGTTGCCTCATCAATAACATGGAGATAAAATGCCTCCTACTAATCCTTATTTTTCTTTCTCATTTGTTTCATCATTTTGACCACTCAAGGTCTTTTAAAATGTGGAGATCTATACATCGATTTGTATACATTCAGTTTCAAACTACTTTTCATCTCATCTCTCCAAAAGATGGATATAAAAGTCTCTCTCTAGAGAAGTGAAATGACTCTTTTATTCTGATAAGTGCATTTGTTTATAGAAAGCTGCCAGTGAAGAGCACACATGAAAACAGAAAGACAAGAAGACCTTTAAACAAAGAAGAGGAAAGAACACATGTAACTTACGTCATTTTCAGATTGAGGTCCTCTGACATGTGGTTTGCCTGAAGGAAAGAATAAGTGATACCAAAGAATGTAACTTAACCTCTTCTAAACATCTAAAACCTTCTCTGAAGGACCACCTTCGGGTGGAAATCTGAGTCACACACCCTACTTTTCTGGAAAGAGTGATTTTGAAACCAACAGCTAACTTCCTCCAGTCAGTTAAGGGAGGTGCCCCTTTAACCATGTAATGTATGATAGCAAGAACAATTGTTGTCTTTTTCTTTCTAGTAGCACAGACTTTTTTTAAAAACATAGTTAAAAATTATTTAAACCTCCTTGCTCAATAACTTTTGCAAATTGCAGTGAGAATTTGAGGGTTCAGACCTATAAATAAGGTGTATTTATTTTGGATGTTTTATTTCAGCCTTTCAAATCACATTTCTAAGATTAAACCTAAAATATTTTAACATTGAAGTATTCTCTGTTGTTCCCTTTGTGAGCAATCAACCAGTCAACCAAGCAAACAAACAAAAAATTAGCTTGCAAAGGGAAGTATGGCTTTGAAAACAAATCCAAAGTAGTGACTGAGTAAAACTTCTTTTGGAATGTGAATTGAATCACTGACATTTAGCAGAGGCATCCAGCTAAGTCTTAGCCTGAGGTGATAAATAGTGTCTCTCAAAATCAAATCCTCTGGCTTAGGTCCCATTACAAAGATACAACTTTCTGCATATAATGATTCATTCCATGGAACTGATACTTACACAAGGAGATGGTTTTATTATTGCCATGTATTATACTATGTCACCCAAAACCACTACTTAGGAGTTAAGAATATAGATTTGGGCCATGCACGGTGGCTCACGCCTGTAATCCCAGCACTTTGGGAGGCTGAGGAGGGCACATGTCCTGAGGTCAGGAGTTTGAGACCAGTCTGGCCAACATGGCGAAACCTCATCTCTACTAAAAATACAAAAATTAGCTGGGCGTGGTGGTGGGCACCTGTAATCCCAGCTACTCAGGAGGCTGAGGCAGGAGAATCACTTGAACTCGAGAGGCAGAGGTTGCAGTGAGCTGAGATCACGCCATTGCACTCCAGCCTCAGTGACAGAGTGAGACTTTATCTCAAAAAAAAAAAGAAAAAAAAAAAAGAATATAGATTCGAAATTCAGTTTTCCTGAGTCAAAACTGGCTCCATCACTTCTTAACTGTGAGATCCTGGATAAATTATATAACCTCTCTCTGCTTTAGTTTCTCTTATTCACAAAATGTTGATAATAAGGATATCTTGTAAGATTGTTATAAATGTATGTGACAAAGTATACATTTGCATGTTAATTATACATATTGGCTACAGTTTCATTATAAAGTCTAGAAACATAAGTATTTACCATATAAAGCCAACATATTAAGTAATCAATTTAATGCTTTTATTTGACAAGCTAGAAAGTGGTCACCTGGGGATGCCCACAGGATGGGAACCTCCCCATTATGCTAGAGTGCTAGGGGACTAGTTGGACAATACCTTCCCAAACTGCATTGCCTTTTATTGCTGTGTGGAATGGACTACACATTTAACAGATTTAAATCCCTTCTATCACTTCTAGGATATGCCGAAGGTACAAGTTGCTTCAGAATAAATCTGAGACACATTCATCCCAGGCAATGCATCACAGATGCATGAGCAGGGACTGGTGAAAACAAAAGCACTGCCTTCGCTGCAATTTTGCACACTTTGTCCATCTATGCATTGTTAATGAGGGACAACCTGTGGAACATACCATGTAGATGATTGAGCAAATTATAATGAAAACCAAAGTTACTATGTAAACTGCCTTGCCTTTCAGATCTCTGGATGCCCAGCATTATGTAAATGGTAGGCATGTTAGTACTAAAGGCAGTTTATTGTGCTCTTGCCCATCCTCAACAGTGCTCCAGGGGATTTTCCCTTGCCCACACATTTAGAAAAAGGCAGATATTGTGAAGAGGGTTCTTCTCCTAGGCTTATTCCAAAAGTATAATAGGTGGAGCAGATAATAAGCTGCTAAAAAGGTGAAACGGGGAAAGTACTTCATTTCTGTGAGTTTACATGGAGGGATCTTAAGGTCTTCAGTTATCATGTAAATGTGCTAATTTCCAAGGCAAGAACCAGTTGAAAGTAGAGTCATTTTCATGGTGAACAGAAAGTAGAGCTTCAGATTATGGGACACAGCCCCCAAGAAGGTCAGACTAAGATCTTTTTAACATTTTGTCCAAAATAAAATTCTGGTAAAAGCAGAATTTGCATCCCGATATCAATTTGCAAAAGTCTTTGCTGTTACCACTTTCTGCTTCTGGAGATATCTGGTATTTTCTGCCATGTGCCAGGGATCATGGTAGGTGAACAGTTGTCAGATTTACCAAATAAAACTATGGGATGCCTAGTTAAATATGAATTTCTCATAAACAATGAGTCATTGTTTAGTATAAGTATGTCCTATGCAATACTTGGAACATATATATAGGAAATTATTTATTTTTCATCATTAAAATTATATTTATATGAATTTATTTAGTTTTTCATCATTAATCTAAAAATTTAAATGGAGCTGCCAGATGAATAACAGTGCCCTCAGTTAAGTTAGAACTTCAAATAAACAATGAACAATTGCTTAGTGTAAGGATGTCCCATGCAATAGTTGGGACAAACTTACATGAAATAAATTATTTGTTGTTTCTTTTGTCATTATTCTTAAATTCAAATTTAATTAGTTCCACCATAGTGTATCTGGCAACTCCATACTAAATTCAAGTTAAGTAGCTACTAAGCAATCACCTTTGAATTCTAACACAAGTTTCTTTCATGTCAGAGTCTGCACTGGTAGGACTGTAGGTTTAGACTTTTCTATAAGGTGTGCAAGGGGCACTACAATGGAAGGAGAATGAGTCTCAGGACAAAATCTACCTACTTTACTATTTTAATTAGAGCTCTGGTCATGCACTTCAAGCTTTCTCCTTTAAATTCAACATCATTTTTTGCTTTACTTAATCCACAAGTTTGCTTAAATAGTAAATAAAGGGCAAATGCTTCTACTCTTATAAACCCAAAAATATCAAGCTAATTTTCCTCAATCAAAACTTAGAGTGCACACTCTGAAAATAATCTCATAAATGGACAAAATATTTAAATTATAATGATCAGGAAAATCAGGGATAAAGTATCACTTGACCCATAGCTCCAATTCCTTTTTAAGTACACAGTAAAGTATGTTATTTCACGTGGCTATGTGGTATTATTTTTCTTATGTTAATGTCACTCACTAGGATTACATAATTTCTCATTTATATTTAGTGGTTTGTGTCTTCCACTTATCAGTATCAGAACCCCTAGATTAGATTAAAATATCCTCTATAGAGAGAGTTTTACAACCTACCTGAGAATCCTCATAACAACAAAACCCCTTCAATTTTAATTCATTTAAAAAATATTTTCATTAGTTACCATAAACTAATTCAGATAATAGACACAGACCACTGGAGTTAAGGGAACTCTAAACCAGAGACTCGTGTAATGACCCCTCTTTTTGCATAATAAACCCAAAGTACACATTCGGAGGTTTTTGCTTGTTTGTTTTTCCCTGAATGGAGATTTTTTTTGTACGTGTCCATCTTTGTTACTTGATATATTTTTAAGCTACTACAACTTCAAGTATGCGGCAAAAGCACTCTTATAGCAAATGACCTATGTTGGTGAGGATGTTAAATCTGAGCTGCTGCAAGAAATCCTGTCATACTAACTGACACACTCTATCTTTAGTAGGAAATATATATTTAATTATATAAATTAAATAGAGCAGATATCAAAGTAACACCTGAAATAGACACTGAATAATAAATAGTTTTTGTAAAAATAGTGTTCTTATCTTATACCATTGTTCTCAGTATTAATATATAAAAGGAACTACTAAAAACTTTGAGGTTTTTGCTGTGGTTTTGTTTTTTCTTTTTTTCCACAAGTGCGGATTGACTCATTAATAGGCTGAGAAAACCATTTAAAATGGAAAATATCAGTATGCATTGCACATACAAAGGTTAAATATTATTTTATGCTCTTTAAACCTGTGGGTCAGTGTCCCCATATTTGACAGCCATTGTACTAGAGTGCTTGGCAAAAAAACCCAGAGTACTCTTGCATAAATGTCCTCTTACAATGTTATTTAAAGGGAAATTATAGCCCTATGCCTTAGTCAGCTTGGGCTGCTATGAGAAAGTACCACAGGCTAGGTGGATTATAAGCAATGGAAAGCATCTCAAGGTCTTTAAGGAGGGTCTTTAAAAGGAGGGTCTCTAAAAGGTCTTATAATGATGCCTGTCTCAATCTCAAAGACCTTGAGATCCCTTTAAAGATGAAATTCATCCCCCTAATACTAGTATCATATCCATTTCTAGAACTGCAGAATTGCCAGATTTTGTTACTATTCATTAACTGCCTCTAGGCGATCTTCCAACCCAAGTCTCTCTGTAGTCTTTAATCTCCTATAAGATGCATTTCTTTCTCAATGTCTTTCACTCAATATCTCTCACACATGCTCTCTCTCTCTCTTTCCCCCTCCTTGTCTCTCATATTTATGGTATATTAATGCTTAAAGTATAGTGGATTATGTCACTTGGTTGTTTCAAAGGATCCCTAAGGAGGAAGAGAATGATGGAAAGAACTCAAACTCATCCCATTGAATGCTTACCAAATGCTAAGCACATTTACAGATGTTATCAAGTACAATCCTCATGGTACATTTGTGAAGAAAGATGTAATTGTCTGTCTATCGTGAATTATCACACTTAGGCCTAGAGTGGCAAACTAGGTTAGAGAGATATTGTCCTCACTACTTTATAGGCAGACCAACTGAAATTTATAAACAAAGGCCACTTGCACAAATCACAAAGAACAGTGGAAGCAGGAACTGACTTCTAGTTTAGTGCTTGCTCTTTCCCCCTGTTCCCTCACTGACCAAATGCTTGTTCATGTACCATTTGTACTTCTTGGGAGAAATGGCATGAGGGTTAGGCAGACTGAATATAT